TCCGAGCTGACGTGTTCCATTAATCTCCTTTTAATTAGACCATTTACACTCAGATCAAAGATACCACTTCCCCATTATGGAATTCCTACTGTCTTCACGACACTTAGTGAGTCAAATAGAAAACTAAATAACCAAACAGAAGCCACAGTGGTTCCTTGTACATTTGATCCTTCAGTTAAAGAAAAAAAAAAGCCCCGCAGAACTTTTCATAAAGAAATACCAAATTAACTTTCTACTTTCAAAGATTTTAATTTTTTTTAATAAACTCATTCATTGCTTATAAATAGTGCGGTAGATGTATGCGATTCTAATAAAAAATTTTCAACCGAATTTAAGGCAAAAAATACAGCTACATATGAGGTTAAATGGAAAAAATGCCTTTTTTCCCCATAGAAGAAAAGCTGGTACATTATGTTAAAAATAAATGGGCTAGAGTTTTAGAATTCAAATTCCATTGAAGTCAACAGTCAAACTTATCAGTCTGCTATTTTCTGAGATTCTGAAAGCCCAAAATATTTTCAGTACTTTTACTTACAGATTAAACCACGCAGCAAGAGGTGATAGACTTACAGACTACTTAGGTGGTCTCAATTTAGCTATCAGGTGAAGCAGAAGTGACTGAGACATTCTTAAATAGACTGTCATTCACAGACAGAACACTGGAATCTGCTCTGCCTGCTATTATGGCACATCAGCAAAGGTTTTCGAGGAAGCAAAACATTCAGCACTTAAAAGCAACAGTCTTAATTGCCCAATTTACAATTTATAGAATTATACTACAAAATCTCAGTTTAACTATGACAAGAACAATTCCAGCAAAATTGTATAACTTCACACCAAAATACAAAGTAGTTATTAGGGTAATTATTTTATATTACAAAATGAGGCAAATTCACAAATGCACATTTAAAAAAAGGGTAGCATTAGATCTCAGGGCTTTGGCAGTAATCATCTACTCAAGACAGTTATTTGTATTTTGACTCAAAATTTAGCATTCAGACTACTTGCAGAGTAGTTGAACCTTATCTGAGGAATACTGTAAAAAGCATGGGTGCCTCTGCCATGAAAAAAATTAAAATTAGGTGCTCTGTCTGCCAAATTGCTAATGTAGTTGGAAATCTGTGCTATTCTGGAGTTCTGTATAGTATGCCAAGCACCCATGTTTAATTAACATGCCACAATAATGCTTTGAAATCTTAATATGGATATGGACTTGGTTGATTACACCTTATGATTCAAGTATTTCAGGTTGTTACCCAAATAAAACTGAAAAGCTTTTAAAGAGTGAGAAGTAAAGAAATGTATTATTCAGAATTCACCTCCTACCTATTACAGTATATCCAGCAGGCAGAATTTAGATGTTCCAAATACAGTAGATCAGCTGATGTTGCAAGTTTACAGTGAGTTCCTTTAAACAGATTTGACCAAAAAACTCTTTGAAGCTACAACATATGAAGCTCCTTTGTGTTGCAATATTGACCATATTGCTTTATAATACAAGTAAAGTGCAATTGTTATTCATGTCAAGAAACCTCTCAATTATTGTAAATAAATGCAACAGCTAAACTATACACTTTATTTAAACTGTATTTTAATTCTTTATAATTATTCATTATTTCTCTACGAAGAAATAACCAAATGTTTTATTTGGTAAAACCATCAAATGATTTTACTGCAAATCATACAATAGTTTCATTAAAACCTTAAGCCCTGTGCAAACCCAAAATGACAATCATCCTGCCTACATGCTTACTCGATTCACTCTTGTTCACTGTCTAAAAGCATGTACTTCACTAACTGAAAAAAAAGATCTTGTAGGTATCTAGTACAGCATGTATATGCAATGTTGTAGCTGAATAAAGCTGCGCGGATGGTAATTTGTCAGAACTCAAGCACAAGAGATGAGAGTGAAAAGTAAAAGGAAGTGGTAATGAAATAATTGATTACTGGCCAGCAGGGCTTAATCAGCCCAGACCGGTCAGTAATGGAAAAGAAATGGAGAGGCACATCGGTCCCAGGAGAAGCTGGCTAACTGCATCCCTGGCAAAAAGAGGCTGCTAAACACAGTCGTCAGTCAGAAAAAGGGAGTCTCGTGTACCGAAAAAAAACGAATAGCGAGAGCCCTGAAAAGGGAACTGAATGGGCATTGAAGGGCAGCCCTCAGGAGAGCCAAGGATGCAGTTTGGCAAGTTTGAGTGTTGACACAGTGACCAGTGAAAAGAATAAGTGCAGAATAGAGAGCAGGCCTGAGGCCGCTGAGACTGCTACGCAGAGCGAAGGCTGGCTTGAAGCCGAAATTGCTCCAAAAGTCGGAAACAGGGAGCCTTGGGTATGGTAGAAACCAAATAGCGAGCCCTCTTGAAAAAGGGGACCAAATCAGTTTGCAGGGGAGACTTGGGGCTGCAACTTCTGTGCAGTGTGGAGCGTCTTGCTCAGCAGAGATAGGTAGAGAGTGAAAACAGTACAGACAGTGAAGAAAACCCAGGATGAAGTGAACAATGATCATCAAAGCAGTGCCTCAGCTTTAAATAGAACACCAGGAACTGAATAAGTAGGAAGTTGCCAATTAACATGGATCGCAAAAAGGGGATCCGGTCAGAGCAGGAAACCCTTGAAAACTGTGAGCTCTCCTGAGAATGCGACTGTTTCCCAGGGCAACCGCTACCCGAAGGATGCTGTAGGATGGCTGTCATGACAGTATATGGGCAGATACCCAACAGAAGGAGCAAATTATCAATGACTAAGATCTGTAGCAAAATCATGATCTTCAAACAAATCAAAACAAAAAGATACTAAAGGGCTGGGCTACCTCTGTGATAAATTTTAAATTTAAAAAGTGTTTTAGTCAAAATGCCTGCCACAACTCAGATCTATAAATGAGTTCTCTGAGCTACAAATACTTCTCAATTTAGTTTAAGAATTTACCCTGCTAGTTTTTTTTTATGTCAAAAACTTTGCTAGAAACCTATAATTTCTGTAGGTTGTGAGACATGAATCTTAAAAGCACAATAAAAACGATTGCAAAAACATTAAGAGGAAATTATTGCAGTCTATTTCTCCCAAAAACCACATCTAAGTACAGTAATTTTTTAAAAACATTTTCCTAAGAGGAGGATCCTTCCATGATAATTAAAAGGTACATAGGCCTTGAAGAAAAATAAGATTTCGAAGCACTTTTGACAATGTGGGTCTGCCTGTTGGATCGTGTCCAGTAGATGTGGCCAAGAATTATATTAGCTCTTTTCTGTCAGATTTAAGGCACACAAAAAATAAATAAAAAAAATGAAAAATAATGGTAATCAATAATAGATTTACACTTGTTGTCTTCAAATGTATGTGGAAAAAAAAGAATTTAAAGTTCTTAGTAAACTATTTTTCATTACTAGAAACTTTGATATCTGTTGTGGATCATTTGTCCTTCACTCTTATTTCTTGTAAACCCAATATATCAAAACAGTATCAGAAAGTATTGGATTTTTTTACCTATTGTATTCATTTTTTGACTTACTGGGTATTTGTGTCTTATCTTTTAAGTCCACCTGTTTATAAAAAATCTCCAGATTGCTGTTTAAGTGGGCTAATCTGGCAATCAATTTTGCTGCCAAGAAAAAGGATTCATATTTCCTAGCCGTTTCTTCATTTCAAGCTTTGACAAGTGATTAAAGACGGCACCAAAGCAAAATTGCATCTGCATGAAGTAGAACCATCATACCCTCCATTACACTGAATACTACTCTTACTCTTAACATTTAATTCAATATTATACCATTTGCACAAATTCTCCTTATATTACTTATATTTAGCATTTTGCAGAAAATATAAATTTGAAATCTCTCAATAAGGTGTTAAAAGATAATTATAGAAATACAAATACAGCCTGCCTACAACAATTGTTTATTTTTTTTCCTTTATATCTATTGTAGAGTGTGAAGCAGCTGAAACTGTGTCCCTTAAAAGCCATTCCATGGCAGTAATCTAGTGCAACCAACACCTGAACTGTTATATTGACTCTGCTATTTATCAAAGAGCATGGGCTGATTGCACTTTTGCAATGAAGTGAATTGGAAGGGTCCCAGTCTGAAAAGCTTAAGCAAAGAGTGTATACAATCACTTTAAAACCCTGTGGTTTGAATTCTTACCATAGCATCTCATTAGTTCAGCTTTCACTTCCATTAACTTATGGAGACATAAATATCCCTATATGACAAACAAAATGTCCACCTACCTTCTAAATATTTTCAGTGGCTTTCACAGAAATCTAAACTTGCCTACAAGATGAACGTGATGCTACTTTTTGAAATGCCTTGCTAATGTATCACATAATACAATTATCGCTTATCGTCCACTGAATCACTTACAGTACATGGTGAAAAAGTTCTTGCTTTCTATACTGTAATAGAAAGATAATCTAATATCAACAATACAAAATAATCAAACTAAATTAAGGAAGGTTTTTTGCTTTTTAATTATTAATAGCCCACAATGGGACTGATCATTGAAGTTAGAGGAATTACTCTGCATTTTACTCATTTTTTCCTACTTTTGGAATTTTATTGAATTTTTTCCCCAAAAAAGTAGAAGTTAGCAGATGCTACTTTTGAAATTTTTTTTAATTTGCAAAGCAAATAAACTATTTATAAATATTTTACTTTTTAAAGATAAAAGGGAAATTAACATTAGAAAATCAAACATTAGTAGACTTTAAAGGGTATTCTCAGCACATTGGGGTAAAGTTTAATTTATCAGGGGAATCTCTTAGCCGAAATTAACTTACAAGTGAAAATTCTCACAGCATCTGCTATGGTTTCTGTGAAGACTCAAAAGCAACCCAGCAACTGTTTTATGTGAATCAATGGGAAAAATAATCCATTTAATCATTACCAAAAAACTGATCAATTCTGATATTCAGTAAGGACTGACAAGATAGTACTACTTCACAAAACTGTGACACTGACTGAACTAAGTCAACAAAATGCCGTCACCATGATTGCAGCCCTTACCTGTAAATAGGGTCCTGCATCACCATCATCTTACTCTCATCCCATGTCCATTCTTTTTTCTGTGAAAACATAGAAAGCTACAAGGATTAGACCAATGTGAATATAACCCAAAAGGACAACACCAAACAAAAACCTTAACTCCATTTTTGTGGTGAAGAAATTGTTCAAATATTTGTTTCCTCTAAACCACTAATATTTTCTACAATTGGAGTTTTCTGAAATTTAGGCTCTCAAGAAGGTTTTAGTCCTTTTTAAAGGAAGCATTATAAATAACTACTATTATTAAATCATTTTAAATTATTGGGGATTAGAAAACTAATACAATTAATAAATTGAGGAATATAAATGCTTTGCAAACACTGGCATCAAGTCTGTTCAGCTCACAAAATCAATACAATTGTCAGCTTGTTTTAAGCAGTACCACTAGAAACTTTACACAACATTTCTACATCTACAAGTAACATGGTAAATAAACCCAATACTGTGAGATAAGGTCTGAGAGGACATCCTTCTCTGAAATTGTGCTTTACCCCCAATCTACTCAGTTTATAAAAGTCTTAGGGGGTATTGATTCCCTGCCTAACCTGAACTCCATCATCGGACCTTATCTGGTCAAGAAGGTTTACTTTAATGGGAGTGCAAGAATGAATTCAATTACAAGAATGTATTTGGATAGGAATATAATTGAACACACTAAAAAAACAAAGAATACTGGCAGATTTGAAATGTCAATCTGAATAATATTATAGAAAGTTTAACTGTATTCTGCTTTTTGGGATGCATTTAAATGCTATAATTGTTAAATAGACATGGTTGACATATTATAAATATTTCAGGTGGGTAGTATGCCTAGTTATGACTAGGCAAATTCAAACTCTTCTATAAATACTGATAAGAGTTTTCCCCCACAATCCATAGTTAAACAGAAAATGAGTAGATGGCATTAGATGGCAGACAAAACATCTACATTTTCAGACACACACAAATAAAAAGCTTCCCCATGAGAAATGTTGCCTTATCTAAAATGCTGAAGACTGCTAAGCACAACTCATATTAAATTCTATGCAAATGAAGTCCATAGAATTGGTTTGTTGATCTGTATTGTGTCCTAAGTATTCCTGACAAAAGGTGAATTAAAGCTTTGATGCAACACATTTATTGATAACATTTCAATTTTGTACTTAAATTAAAGCTTCTATTAAAAGCTAGAAATGATCACAATGTAATAAAGAGATTGGTTTAGTAGAAAAAAAAAAGAGAACTACTTAATGAATCTGCAAGGACGATCCAACAGACAGTTTCTAAAACTGAATATAGCAAGGTCATTAAGCTATATAGCACTATATATAAAACTATATAGCAAGGACAGGAATTCATTCGAATAAGGTAAAGTGGTCAAAACTTTGTCCCTTTAGCCTTATCATTAACATGAAATAGAGATTTCCATACTTGATGTGTGCCATCTTAATTGTTTAATACTTCTGAGGCACTTAATTAGAACTTATGTCCTTGGGCTTCATCCAGGGATATTACTAGTCTTCCTCTTCAAAAAGAGTTAAATTAAATGTCAAAACACATTACTGCTAAATGGCATCTAAAGTTGAAAGAAACTGTCCAGTCCTTAAAAACTTAAAGTTCAAGGAGATAACCGTTTTTTTCTATTGTATAGCCTTGGAATGGCAACATACTTCTGTATGCAGGTACACATTCTTGGTCTATTGAAAAGCAACACCTCATATTCATGTGCACCTTATTATTAGACATCAGAAGGGAATAAAATCATAAAGTTCATTTTCACTTAATTGTATTTCAGATTACGGTTTTCTTAAGCCACAACAATCACAATAAACTTTAAGCTTTAACATGTCGAACTTTGACTTTCGGTCTTACATCCCTTAATTTCAGATGGTTGCTTCTAAGCTACATAAACTAAGAACAGTCATCCAATTCCAATATTCCCCTTCCCGTTTGGTTACAATATTGCTGGAGATAAATATGTCAGCTTTAATCAAACCAGAGGCTCTAACATCTTCCTCACCGGATATTTAAAAGGAAGACAATGGGAGCAGAGGTCACATATTGAATATGTGAGGTCTCTCCAAAACAATATACCTCCAAGTAAATTGTTTTCAAATGTGTGCAAGCAGAACATAAAGACGTCAAGCATTAGAGGGAAACTGCCCTGACTTGCCAGCAAAGTTTTACTTTCCAGTCCTAATAGACACTAATTATTTTTTTACTATCTAAAAGTAACAAAAAATATTAAGAGACTCACCTTTTTCTTTTTTCGCAGAACAACCTTGACCCCATCCACAGACACCATTATATTTACTTTTTTCTTCTTAATGTTCTTTACTTTGAATTCATACTAAAACAAGGAAAGAAAAAGTCGACTCAACAAGGAAACTTAACACTTTGTTGCAAATGCTAGAAAACTGTTTGGAACTTCTAAAGAGTTTGTCAGTTTACATTTCTTTGAAAAGCTAATTTTTATGTTTGGAAAAATAACACGCTTGAAATTTGTAATTATCCTCTCACAAAAACAACCATATTACAATTTCCTTCACAGAACAAAAAGGCATAAGTGCTAATTAACCAAGCTGGTGAGAACACGTATTAAGTAATGAATCACTTGGACAAAGGAATAAAAGGACAAAAGTGCATATACTGATGTACAAAGGAACCAGGCCATGCAGGTCTAACGGACTTAATCAAATATTTTGAACACAGACATTGAACAAAAATCATAGTTAAAAGAATCAAGGTACATTTTCATTATGAGACTTGACACAGTCAGATTGATAGCTTTTCAAAAGCGGGTAGTGAGTCTGACCTCCCTGACCATTAACACAGAACATTAATTCAGATAATACTGATGTACAGACCCAATCACCCTCTGGGTAGATAATGTAGAGGGTTCTGAAATTTTCTTCCGTTTTGAAATACATCAAAGAGTTAGCCCCACAGTTATATAGGAATGAAGCAGAAAAAACAGCCCTGGGCTCAAGAAGCAACACATTGATAAAAACATTGATGCACACTGAAAATGTAACAGTTTGTCAGGTGCAGTATGTGTATTTGCAAAACAAAAAGCTCTGAACACAAATCAGTGAAACCTGATTTAGATAAAAATACATCTAAAATATATATAGTTTTACAAAATGTTACTGAAAATTAATGTCCTTCTGCAAATTTACTGGACACTTTCCAAATTAATTTCAGCCATGCATATCAGACTTCATTGCCTTTTTTAAAATTAAAAAATGGTCTTGGTTATATCTTGTCTACACAGATTATCATTTTTCAAAAAAGAACCTTAATCTCTAGACATCTCCCTGGGTAAATGATTCAGGAACTTGTTTAATGCAAGCTTGACTGCCTTGGAGACTTAAACAGGCCAGTCCCAAAGCCTGACATGATAAGCGTATTTCTTAAGAGCTTTTTCTGTGAAATGACTGCCAGCCGTGCCCAGCTGGGCAGCAGAATCCTAGCTCTTGTAAACAAGAATCCACGAGAGACAGTGTGTGAAACAGCACAGTCTCAGATAACACAGTTGTGTATTTCCTCATAAACTATTTAAGACTTGCAGTGATTCACAGATTTTTTTACAACCCATCTATTTACATCTTAACAAAGCAGCCCTGGATCAATTATGGGAATATCAAACAAATATGACAATTTAACAATTTGTGCTAAATAATTACTCATCAAGAAGAAATGAAAAGCATTAAAAAATGCAAAAAAAACTTTAGTTTCTTAACTTTACTTAACATACTTAGATGCACCACCTCAACATGACTGTCCACTGTCGTTTTTTTCACACCCACAGTCAGTGATAATGAGTTCCTGTTTTTTCTTGCCACTAATTGCTTGACCACCGCTCCAGTCTATTATATCACAGCAGGAAACCAGGAACCAGTGACACACTGACAAAGCACAGAAGGCTGTAAAGGTGGAAAGCTTGAGGCCTTACCAAATAAACTTTATTAGGGTCCACAATACTGTATTGTATGTGACTTTGATGCAACAAGCCACATTACACTCAAGATGGGAACAAAATATATACATTAAATACTGGCAAGCATTAAAAATACATCAAAAAAAGAGAACCAATAGCACTTACTATGTGTATTTTTAGTGTTGCTCATGCACTTTCTGCACAGCAAGGGTACTAGTTTGAATAGACACTTTGGGCCTTTTTTCAAAACCTATTCATTTAAAATGTTGCTTTTTGCATCTATCCATATTACCATTTAGAGCTGAGCATTTAGGACTAATAAGTCCAAAGTTTTTTACAATTTTCCCCCTCCATTCAACTGTGCTGCAAAATGTATATGTTCATTATTCCTAGAACTGAAGGAAGAAGCTCGTGAGTAGTATATAGGGAAAAGCTGGAATCCTGGATGCATTCCTGCACAAAGGAATGTACAGATGAGAATATTGTGATACCGAGACAGAAATGCTTATCACTGCAGAACATCAGTTCTTATTTAATGGCATCCAGACATCTGTCACCATTGCCATTAGAATACAAAATCAAATACAACAAGAAACACAACAGAAGGCAAATGAAAATATTTTCAGCATACGGTACGGGGGAACAGAAAAGGCACTGTGGAAGCTTCTTTCCGAGAATGATCCCCTAATGAAAACTAGAATGTGGCAAGATCAATGAGACCTTGAATATCCATCAGAAAGTTTTGTCTCCCAGGACGCATTTCTTTTAATTTATAAGGAACTCCAATGCAATACTGAGTATTTAAATCTCTTTCCAAAAAGACATTTTCATTACTAAAAAGTTCAAGTAGGTAGCTGTGTCAGCATGCATAGGCTGTAAAGGAACAAATAAAAAGGTTTATTCCATGCTGAAAAGAGCCTTCTTCGGGTGTGAGCAAGAGAGGAAAGTCAGCTGTTAATAAAGCAACCAAGCTGCTCCCATACTTTATTAGCTGCAGACTTTCCTCTTTTCTCACACCCAAAGTTTTACTTCACTTTTCAACATAGAATAAACCTTTTCTTGTTCTTTCATTACTAAATGTCATGGTTCGCCAATGCAAATGATATGTACAGTACCATCCATGCAAATTCATAGCCACTCCATCCTCTGGGTTACTGTGAGCTAAAGCGTAACCTGGCATACTGTTTCACAACAGGGCATAGTGTTTCACACAGGGTAAACACACAGTCATTTAGAGACACCAATTAACACAGCCAGCATGTCTGGAAGGTGAAAAGAAACCGGAGCACCCAGATAAACAACAAATATCTGGGAGAACAAAATCCATCTCAATCTTTTCTTCTGCAAAGAGCCGACATGCTTTAATTTCTCTGAATTCAGTCATACAGTCAATAGGTTTAACCACCCCACTTCAAAAGTTAAAAGATTGCTACAGGGTTTTGAGGAATAAAGTAAACAATTCAGATATTAAACGTATCCCAATAAGAACAGAAACTATCTTATGTAAAGGAAGTGTAGCCTTAAACAGCTGTGGTTCTTTAGTGAAAAATGAATACATTTTCCTGGTTTCCTTCCACTTGGAATCCGGTTTCTATGGACAATGGTTAAAACAAACTGTGTTTGTCATCTTCCTGTGGGTCAGCGAGCTACCTCTACAGGGTTCAATATCATTATATGCATCAACTTACAAACAATGGCCAGCAAAATATTTGACAGTTCTTTTTATAAAGGTATTGTTGTCCTTTACATCCGCTAAAGCATCTTACAAAATCCATGTTTTTGCCCATTGCCTTTTTATCCGAAATGAGCCGCACAATTGTAAAATTAACTACAGATGTAGAAATCTTAGATCGAATAATTTTCTACTTGATAACACACTAATTGCCCAATTAAACTATAGAAACAAATACACCTCTTTTGCCACTAGAACACGTCGTCACTAATTGTATTAGTGGTAATGAAGATGCTTGTCCTAATTTCTTGCTCTTTAGCATATAAGAACATTTCTAGAAGTGTGGTCCTGCAAATGTATCTGAGTCATTGACTTACAATACACAGTCTGTAAAATCATTATTGCCACCTGAATTTTACCCCAAATATGCAGGGGTGGCACTGTAAAAGAGCTAATCCAGACAGGAATATTAGGGAGGAAGGGAAATATTGCTCCTCATGGAAATTCCAATTATTACAATAGCCTGTCTGTGGGGAAAAAACAAAAAGTGTGAAGAAAACCTATACAAACCCTGGGATACCTGCCAATTCAACACAGAAGTGTCCCAGTGCACAATAGAAGCCTAAACCCTAGGCTAGCATCTCTGAACACCATACCATCATGTCACGTTACACTACAGTGTGATATTTTAATAATAATGTAATAATGTTTCTTTATTAGCCCTATACAATTTCTTGCATTAGGAATTCGTCTTTTCGCATACCCCAGCTTTTCTCCATGGAGACACAGACACACAGACAGGGAGAGAAGCTTGGGGTCAGAGCGCAGGGTCAGCCATTGTATGGCGCCCCTGGAGCAGTTAGGGTTAAGGGCCTTGCTCAGGGGCCCAACGGAGTAGGATTCCTCTGCCGGCCGCGGGATTTGAACTGGCAACCTTCCAGTCACAGGCACAGACCCTTAGCCACAGAGCCACCGCTCCGCCCCAGAGATAAGATGATGATTCTATTAGACTGCGATGGACTGGCACCCCATCCAGGGTGTACCCTGCCTTGCGCTTGTTGCTTGCCAGGTAGGCTCTGGCTTCCTGTGACACCGTATTGGTATAAAGCGGTTTGGTGAATGGCACGACATGATTCTATTAGATGGGCACAGCACCAAAATGCTTCACTGAGAAAATGTTCTATGCCAAGCTCTCATTTTGCGTTTTTGTTTTGTAAACAGCCAAATAAAGATTATATCAGCAATTTATTCACATTCTCATTTGGACTGTATTTAGCATTGCTTACTTAAAACAAAGTCACATTTCTAGCCTTTAATAAAGTCTCAGTCATATGACTAGTTCAAATGTTTATGTAGACAAAAATATACATCAAAATACAACAAAGGTTCTATATACCAGCCTCAAGAAAAAATAAATTGTGCAAGTGACTTAACTGAAATGAAAAATATTAAAGCACCTGCTCACACACCTTGAGAAAATTAGTCTTTCTAACTTTTTAGTTTCAGCCTGTTATCTAACAGATTCTGCACTCAGATAATTTAATGTCCAGCAGTTCTATTAAAGGTTCATTACCGACCTGTTCCAGCGGGAAAGTAATGATTCAAATCAAAACTAAACTATTCAATAAGAGGCCTTCTTCATGTGTGAGGCCAAAGCAAAGGCACTGTTTCTGTACACACCAGATTAGAGTTCTCCTCCCTTTTAATAAAAATGTAGCTGATTTTTTTCAGAAGCATC